CATTTCACCGAGGTTTGTAACTGTTGAATTATCATATAACCGTAGAAGATAGTTGATATAACGATTACAAAACTGGACGTAATAGTTCCATAACATCTCTATTTTTGTGTGTCATATTTGTTGGGGGTTTTTTTCTGAAAAAATCATGAAGGCCTAAAACGCAGAGCAAACAAAGAAAATAGTGGGGTTCTGTACTTGTCCCGTCCACTTAAAACAGTTCAATTTCTCAACTTTCTCTCTCCTAACCTATCTCCCTCAAATACACACCAAAAAGAAAAGGGAAAAAAATATAAAAATAACAAAAATACAATAGAAGTCTAAAAGGGGCACTACTACCACATTGGCTTTTCTTAAGCCCTTTTGCTTCTGTGGTTTGCCCAAGCAATTACCCTCTGCTCCCCCTTAACATAGCTGCAAAAATGGGGAAGGAGGAATCATACTTCGAATTTCTTGTTATTATTTGATGCCTTCTCTCTTTATTGTAAAAAAAGTTCTCATCTTTTCTAGATTAATTTCCCTAGTTTGTACTATTGATTATATAAGTCACTACTCACAGACATCTGTATGACTTTTGTTTTTTTTTTTTTGGAATTTTTTTTAATACCTTTCTGTTCTTGACTTAGTGGTGAGCTGAAGATCCCTATTCTGCTCTTCTTGTTGTAAAGACTCCACCTTTATGAATTTCACTGACTGCAAATTGACTTCTTTTGGCAATATACGAGCCCTTGTTGTGTTTCTGCCCATTTTACTTGTTTCTTGAAAAAGGAAGAATCTTTTGGGGGCATCTATGGAAATTGATCTGAATCATGTTGTGTTTGAGGTGGATAAGTATAATAATGCATGTTTGAAAGGTGGGAATTGTGGAAAGGGGGAAGGTGGTGTTAGTTTTTGTGTTCATGGGTGTGTGTCAAATTCTGCAAATGCATCATCTTGTTCCTCGAATGCTGACTCGTCATCATGCTCCTCAAAATCTGGTCAGTCCTCAGTGTATGTAGAGCTATGGCATGCCTGTGCTGGGCCCTTAACCAGGTTGCCCAAGAAAGGGAATGTTGTGGTTTATTTCCCTCAGGGCCACTTGGAACAGGCTGCCTCCTCACCGTACCCTCCCGTCGACCTGCCCGCTTTCGATCTCCCCACGCAGATCTTTTGCAGGGTTGTGGATGTTGAGTTTCTTGTAAGTGCTTTTAGTGTGGAGGTTCTGTTTTCCTCTATGGTCTTTCTCTTGTGCTGTATTTGCTGAAGTTTGTGCTTTCTTAGATTTGTTACTTCTCTAATTGATTTTCTCTTTTTGGGGTGATACAGGTAAACAAGGAAAATGATGAAGTGTATACTCGGCTGAGTCTAATTCCAATACCAGAGGTAGGTACTATTAGCAATCATGAACATCTTATCTTGGTAGTAAAATCGGCTAAATTCTGTGTGGTTAACTCGTTTAAATTGTTTAAATAGTTCGAAGCGCATGGTTTCAAGAAAGTTTTCACATTTGGAAAGTCGAACTCTTTTGCTGGATGCATGATCTGCGTTTCTATGATATTTAGGGCTAATGTATGCCTCTCGGTTTGAATTCCTTTTTCGGATGAATGCTTAGGGCGTTCTTGTATGCAAATATATCCTCTCAAAACGAATTTTTTTTTTGGTTAACCATCGTTAGTTTTGAAAAAGTTGGTATGGTTTGATAGTGGGATTTTGAGTTTATATTAAAATAATATTTAAAATAAAATAGTTAAAGTTAATTTCATGTAGAAGTATGAGAGAGATGATGTGAAATGATGGTTAGTTAAAATTATGTTAGTGGATTAATAGTGAATTGAAGTTGATGTGATATTGTAAGAATGGTTGGTTGATATAATAATTATATGATAATATTGAGGATAGTGAGATAGAGTTGAAGTTGAGTTAGATTTTGACTATGGGTTGAAATAATTTGTAAACAAACACACCCTTTAGTTTCTGTTAAGCCTTAGGATTCTTGATCGTGAGATAGTTATTCGAACATCGTGTGTCTTGGCCCAATCGTTATTATTTTAATAGCTTGTAGTGTCTGAGCAGCTGGCAGAGCAAAATTTAAAAGTCAAAGAGAGTGAAAATGAAAGCTCGAAAGAGAATGGTAACAAAACTTTGTCTGCGAAACCAACTCCTCATATGTTCTGCAAAACACTTACGGCTTCTGATACGAGCACCCACGGTGGATTTTCTGTTCCCCGGAGGGCCGCGGAGGATTGCTTTCCCCCTCTGGTTTGTTCGTCAACTAAAAATAAACATTTTTTTTTTCTTTTGTCATGAATTTAAAGTTTTGCTTATTTTTTTTATGGTGTTGTTTTAGGATTACAAGGAACTAAGGCCCTCACAGGAACTCATTGCCAAAGATATCCATGGAGTGGAGTGGAAATTCAGACACATCTATAGAGGTGTTGTTAAGCCTTTTTTTTTTGGGTGAATTTTTCTAAACTTGTTTCATTATAGAAAGTTGTAATTTGCTTTTGTTTCGAAAAAACCTGACAGGTCAGCCAAGGCGTCATTTGCTCACGACAGGATGGAGTATTTTCGTCAGCCAAAAGAATCTCGTGTCTGGTGATGCTGTTCTCTTTTTGAGGTAAATGTTTCTTTACGAGTTCCTCGATTTTTCAGAACTGGACATTCTAGAACTAAAAATTCTATCAATGCGTGGTCTTTTGAATTTGCAGGGGAGAGGAAGGTGAACTATATTTAGGCATTAAACGAGCTGCACGGCCAAGAAATGGTTTACCTGACTCGATTATTAAAAATCAGTGTTCTTATTCCAATGTGCTTTCGTCAGTTGCCAATGCTTTATCGAGCAATAGCACATTTCATGTTTTCTTCAGCCCAAGGTACTGAACTGCATCCTCATTGTTTTCCTGGATCATTTTTTTTTTTTTTTTCGGGCTTGAAAATGGTTCTGGTTGTCCGGCAAGCTTTTTTTTTTCCTTATTTAATTAGAATTGTAATCGATACTATTTTCAGACTCACTAAAGCGGCTTCAAATATTGTTAGATATTGTGGACTTAATAAAAGACAGCATGTTATCCTATGAATTGCGGTTTTAGATCATGTAAATGTATTAACATGCAAATGCTGAAATACATATATATTGATGACAGTGTTAAGCTCGTAACGTTATCAGTTCAAGATGAAATTTATATAGAATGGGTCAGTGAAGAACTTGTCTTGAAAAACGGTGAACAATAACTATTAATAGTATACGCTGCTGTATTAGCACATTATTGCCTTGATAAATAAAACATCAAATTCTATCGTTGTTTTTGGCTTGCACATTTTTCTCGACACGCGTTTCCATTTTAGGTGGGCCCTTGGTTAATAAAATTGCGATTTGGTTCCAATGTTATTATTATGAAGCTGATTTTTTTTTTTTTTGGAAACTTGAATTTAATAAGTATCTATATGATTCATTTGCGTATTTTATCGTTTTTTCCTTGCTTGTTATAGCTTTTCAATGACATTTGTTTCAATGTTATTACTATGGTTTTTCCATTTGCATAGGGCAAGCCATGCTGATTTTGTCATACCTTACCAAAAGTATGTGAAGGCCACCACCAGCACCATATCTGTCGGGACAAGATTCAAGATGAGATTTGACGTTGATGATTATCCCGACCGAAGGTCCCCCATTTACATTCAATTCCAAATTGGTTTTACTCACCACATCTTCTTTGATATGCATATTATTTTATTCTCTACTTAATTTAGTTTGTATTTTCTTGCAGGTTCAGTGGAGTGGTGACTGGCATTGGTGATGTAGACCCGTATCGATGGCCACACTCGAAATGGAGATGCCTTACGGTACATTATTATATCTGCACTAAAAGTAATGAGAAAAAAGTACATTTGTTCAAACTCTCTAGGTTTCGAAAGTGCTATCTTTCTACAAATGTTTGTGACAAACACATGCACGATGCATGGAGTCCGTTGAAGTTATAAAAAAAAATCATTTTTTTTTTCATGTTTTCGGATTTGTTCGGTATAGGTACGTTGGGATGAAGATATCATGAGCAACCACCAAGAACGAGTTTCTCCTTGGGACATTGACTTATCGGGCAACTATGCACCCATCACCATTCAATCCTCCCCTCGCTCAAAAAAACTCCGACAAAGTCTTGCACACTTTTTTCTTAATTTCATATATATACTTTCATCTGAAATCAATGTGGGAGACTAACTTCTTTTTTTTTTTTTT